TGAGAAAAACAGAGGTGGTTGCTGCCCCTTGGGTAAGCTGCTTCATGCTGGGTTATTGCATATCCGAAGATTTATGGATGCAGTTTTGACTGGAAATCATAGCTGCCCCATGTTGCTTTGCTGAATGGCAATGGCAGCCCATCTTTCTATATTGGAATTGTGAAATCCGTTTGTGGAGATACATCTTGCAAGATTCCTGACAAATATACTACCCTTTAAGGCTTCAGCTGAGGTTTTTTGTCTCTTCTGACAATGAGTTTGGTAACCTGATGAGTATATACCCACTCTGACTAAGTCTATTTTAGTTGGAGATTTTCCTTGTGGCTTCCTCCAGCTGGTCCTACTTGGTATTCCAGTGCCAGGGAATTACTTATGTGTTTGCTGTGCACGGATATATAAGTTACCACTGCTACCTTCTTTAGACTCCTGAAGTAGAAATGAAAGTAGAAATGAGAAACGCGTTGACCCATGATGACTGATTTCCACATTTGTGCATAAGGCAATTAGATATGTAATTGAATCAATTCTGAACATACAGTATATGTAGTGTAGTTGGTTTCAAAGATGTGCAACAAGCACAAGATTATTTTTATTGACCTATAAAATGCTTTATTTGTAATAAAATTCATTTTTTATGTATTATACTATGTGCTCCTTGTCATGCCAGTAAAGTCTGACACAATGTTTTTCCAGATGGCCTGATAAAAACAACAACTTTGTTTTCTGTGTAATTGAAAAATGTCAAAGTCCCTCACTCTGTATGTGTGAGAACCCAAGGTGACATTTAAACCTTTTATGATCCTACGATCCAGTCTTACCTGCAAAACTTCACTCTAACTGCCATTCTGACATGGCATCTTATCATGCAGCTTACATTGTACAAAAAAGCAGGCTATAGGACTGACAATTTTTTTTACCTACTATGATAAAGATTCATTGATTTTTCTATAGTTATTTGGTTAGCTTTGCGTGAAATTTGCACCAAAAAAAATGTAGCACTCTCTATTGTGCTACTAGAATAGTGCAGTGTACCATAGGTAAAATCATTGTGTATGACTCATGGTAGTTGTATGAGTCTGTGATTGAGGCTGGATTATTGCAAGTCAGCTGGATGATTCAACAGGTTGTGGCTCTATCGCCTCCTCTTGACTCTGGAGGACCACAGAACCTTCCAGAAGTCCGTAAGCAGGAAGGCGTGGAGGCCTAATCTGCATATTCATAGGGGCCTGGCCAATCCCAGGTTAGGAGACCCTGGTAGAGTGGTGGACTGGTTTATAAATATGGGAGAGTCAGGCTGCAGTTGAGTGGAAGATGGAATGCTGAGGGGACTGCTGGTGCCTAGGAAGGGTCCTCTAGGCCTGGGGGAGCGTGGCATCCAGGCTTGGCTCAGGCTGGCTTGGGAGGACACATTCAACGGAGAGCGTGAATGGGATCAAGGCCTGGAGCAGCAGGGAGCAAAGACAACAGAGTGAGTACAACAGCACACTCTGGGATCTACACAGGGAAAGATTGCCACATGTAGCAAGCTTTCTAAGGAAAACACTGGGCTCAATCCTTAATCCTTATCCCGGGAGATCTTCCAAGAAGCCAGGAGCACTGGTAGTGCTTGCAGGCTGTGGAGCTGGGAGCAGCTCTATAGGGGTAGAGAAGATGTCTCTGCATATAGCTAAGTAAAGTGATTTCTGACTGGCTGCTAGTTCCTCACCCGTACAGGGCAGCTGCTACTGATCGGCAGCGACTAACAGCTTTCAGGAAAAGAACAGTCCAGGATCTGCCATTGTACATAGGAAATAAGTGTCCCCCTTTTATTGATTCAAGCCAACCGGACATCCCTAATAAAATAACAAAACCAAGCTCATGGACTGGTCACTGCTTTTGGATGCAAGTCTGTGTGAAAGGAATACCTGTTGCAGACTGTGCAGAGGGAGGCTTAGGGATACCTATTACACAGTGGCCCTCACGAGGGTAGCGCTACAAAAATAATAGATATAAGATAACAACATTTCCAGCAGGATGGAAAATTATTCTCATCTTGTCATTAATGATAGATGTTATCAAGGTGAACAGATGCAGAAAATGGAAGAGGGGAGCGTAACGTTACTGTGACACCTGCATAAAATCGGCCTCATCACTATTACAAATGGTCAGAACACTGGACAATTTTCATGAAACCGGTTCAAATTTTGAATGGGCCCTGAGTGCATCTACAGAAGATCATTACACATTTATGATTGTTGCCAAAGGTTGAAACTGCATTGCCTCATATGAAAAAATGGCCTATCTATAGCCAGGAATAAGATTTTGTTGCTTGAAGCACAAACATAGAACCCACAGTACGTACATAGAGCTGAGTGAGCCATTATAGGAGAAACTGTGTGTGGTAGTCAAACCATTGAGGCGTTTTGTCACTTAACAATGTATTATCCATTGCAGCTGTGATGCTCATTTGTGTTTTTGTAGCTTCTCATACCCACATTCTTATTGTACACTATGAATACATGTTCTGTACCTAAATAGAATGTAGATAATTGCATATATTAGTTGAAAGCAGATACAGTATATATACCTGCAGATTTGAGAGCCAGATCAAGATAAAATGACAAAATTGAGATAATAACTAGTTGGATATTCCTGTTGTACAATGTAGACACCAGATCACAATCCCATCGACCTGGATGTTGGTCCTGTACTGTGTAACAAAGGGGTCTTTTTCTATGTAACCGCTTGTACGGAAATGACAGGCAATCTTACATTTCACCAGGTAAAAATGTAATCTAATCCCTCGGAGGATAATTTATCTAATGTCAGTGCTATTGAAATGAATCATTGCCAAGCTGCTAAATTGCCTGATATTTATGTACAGTGTTACTGCGCCATATGTTTCTATCTCCAAAGTTGGCAGTAAAAAATTAACTCGTGAGATTTCCGGGTGGCAGACTTTTACCAATGGAGAGTTATGCTGACCACATCTCTTACTGACATTGACTGCAACTTCATGAAAGGGCTTTCCTACCACATGCATCAGAAGCAGATCAGGCAAAACAGTGTAATAGTTTATCATTTTTTAACTTTTCGCTGTACTATACTGCATTGTCTTAAAAGTGTAATAAAATATCAAAACAGAGTTCACAAAGAGACTTCAAAAGACTTCAAAACCACAACCCCCACATTCCCAAAACCTGTTCCCATCCATTTATCCACAATTATGTACAAAATATTTAAAATATAGACTATGGGTATATTTTGGAAATTGTCTAGCATTAGGGCAGCATGCAAGCTCTTGAATAGGAAGCAAATTGAAAGAGCTCTGCAGTGTTTGCCTTTTTTTAACATATTTTGCTGCCAACAGCAGAAGGCAGAGGAGGAATACAAGGATAAAGAAGGTTGAGATGCTGGTGGTGAGGAGGAGGAGGGCTGGGGTGCTGGCAATCAGGAGGAGGGCTGGGGTACTGGCAGGGGTGAAGAGAAGAATTGGGGTGCTAGTGGTGAGGAGGAATAGAGTTGGGGTGCTGGCAGGAAGGAGGAAAAGTGATGAATTGCTGTTCTTGGGAAGGAGTGTTGGGATGCTGGTGGTGAAAAGGAGGGGTGTTGAGGTTTAGTTGGGAAGAAGGAAATTAGCGGAAGGTGTCGAGGGGATGTTTCACCCCTCTCTAGTACTATGAGAAAATCTACTGCCATCACCCCAGAGGGAGCACTAATTGTCCTACTGTGGTGCAAAGATCCCCTAAACTGTAGTCATAGCTGTAGGGGGGAAACCTATGAGCAAAGACTGGCCTCCTGAGCCCAGATGGGCTTTGGCTGTGATACATGTTGCTAACATAAGCAAAGCTGCCTTTTGTTTTTAGTACATCCCCACAAACATTGTGTGCACTAAAGCACCACACATTTATCCCCCCTGCTGCCATAGCTGCCATTAAATTGAACAAATCCTGTTTAGCAGGGCTAAAGTGAAAGGCATAGGTTTTGCGTGTGGAGGTTGAAGTTTTCTTTAAACAGTATTTTGTATTTACCAATTATCAGTTATTTATTGTCATTTATTTATGTGTTTGTTTATTCACTTTGTTGAGCCGGCCATACATGAATTCAATATTGTATGATTCTGCAGGGACCGGCTGAGATTCAATTCATGTATGGGCAGGCTGATTGTACCCAAGACATTACATTGATAGATTTGGGTACAACCAGCCTATTGAATTTTTCTATATGTGATTACTGCTGGCAGCTATAGCCACTAGCAGTAATCATTGTGATCTTCCTGCCAGAAAGGCATGCTCCCCATGCCAGCAGAACACAATAGTACTACAGGAGGCATTCCCCCTTCAACACTTACTGTGTTGATGGGGGAAGGGAGCAATTTTCTTTCCTTCCACCTGTGGTTTAAGGAATGAAAATCGGATTATCTATGGACTGCCTTGGGCTGTCCCTGCCCTGCTGAAGCAAACACAGGGAGGGAAAGGCAGCAAATTAAGCATTACTGTATTTCAAAACAGGAAGTCCTAGGCCTAAATACCTCCATGTTCTTTTGAAAAAAGTTTTGAAGGGGATGGAAGTCTCACTCAACGAACCCAAAGAAAACAAGTTATAATAATTAACACATACAAGTGAAAAGGTTTCCTTTACTGAAGCCATCAAATCAAAGTATTTATCCAGTACTGGATTCACAAAGAATGTTGTAAGGTGAATCAATAAAATTCCAAATGTGGATGAAATTTGAGGAATGTGGGGCAATCAAAAAGACAAATAAAGAACCTGAAAGATCAGCTGAGGAGGAAAGTGTTAAAAAGCAGCAACATTGAAGAGTAAAATGTACCTGTCCACAGTCAGCCTTGTAGGTAAGACTAGAGAGAGGATTGTCTACAATGGGTTAAAAAAGCGAATTGTGAAGTTCAAAGAAAAGCAGATTGTCATGAATATTATGGATAGTGGATATTTCCATGTTGGAGAGGATGTGAGCATCAAAATGACACAGAGTGTAAGCACACGTCCCAGATCTTCACCAGAGCACCCTGAAAGGAGTGATGGACTTTACTGGTGGATGTATCAGGTTGCAGCCCTAAGACACACCTGTGCAGATTGCAGTTGAATAGAACCAGAGCAGGGGCGGACTGACAACTCATGGGGCCCCCGGGCAATAGGGGATCATGGGGCGCCTGTGTCCTTGCCCAAACTCAAAAAAGCCTATGAAAAAGGTACCAGGGGTATCTCATGGGGCCGCCTACTGACCCTGGGCCCTCGGGCAGTGCCCGAGTTTCCAAATGGTCAGTCCGCCCCTGAACCAGAGCATGGTCCACAGTGAACAGGAAATATCAGAAACAAGGATAGGCAAAAGTCAGGGCAGGCAGCGAACAAGTGTAGCGATACAAGCTGAAGTCGTAAACAAACATGGAATGCAGGAACTAACATGGACCTGGGCTGGGGAATAAACAAAATCCTAAGGTAACAGCAAAAAAGATTAATAAGTTTGGCTGGGCTTCATCCTGTAGGTGCAATCAGAAATTGAATTCTGGTGATGCCCATACCTCCCAGCCCTGGAACAAAGCATGCTAGAGCAAGGAAGGGGAGATCACATGTTAGCATAACCAAAAGAAAGAAAGGGCAGTGACTTGAGATAGTGCTGGGAGCCAAACACTGGTCGAGGCCCAGTCATGTTCCCTGCACTACTATTTCTTTGTGTTTATTATAGATTAGCATTTTTTTCAATTATTAGTTTTATTTTTTTCATGTAAGGCCATCCCTGCCATGTTAACACAAACAATCAAATCTGCTAAATTGAAAGCAGGACAGCGTTTTCTGGCTGCAGCAGACATGTATACCTGTGGAATGATCTTGCTATAGTTCTGCATGATGAGCAAAAATACTGTATTCAGCTCAAACCAAATTAAACTCTTGATCAAAAGGGGATAAATGTGGAAGCCAAAGCAAAGGATCTTCTACACTGCTCAAAAAAAAATGAAAGGAACACTTTTTAATCAGAGTATAGCATCAAGTCAGTTAAACTCCTGGGATATTGATCTGGTCAGTTAAGTAGCAGAGGGGGTTGTTAATCAGTTTCAGCTGCTTTGGTGTTAATTAAATTAACAACAGGTGCACTAGATGGGCAACAATGAGATGACCCCCAAAACAGTAATTGTTTTACAGGTGGAGGCCACTGACATTTTTTTCCTTACTCATCTTTTCTGACTGTTTTTCACTAGTTTTGCATTTGGCTAGGGTCAGTGTCACTACTGGTAGCATGAGGCGACACCTGGACCCTACAAAGGTTGCACAGGCAGTCCAACTCCTCCAGGATGGCACATCAATACGTTCCATTGCCAGATGGTTTGCTGTGTCTCCCATCAGAGTCTCAAGAGCATGGGGGAGATTCCAGGAGACAGGCAGTTACTCTAGGAGAGCTGGACAGGCCCATAGAAGGTCCTTAACCCATCAGCAGGACCGGTATCTGCTCCTTTGTGCAAGGAGGATGAACAGGATGAGCACTGCCAGCGCCCTACAAAAAGACCTTCAGCAGGCCACTGGTGTGAATGTCTCTGACCAAACAATCAGAAACAAGAGGGGGGCCTGAAGGCCCACCGTCTTTTATTGGACCCTGTGCTCACTGCCCAGCACCATAGAGCTTGACTGGCTTTTTCCATTGAACACCAGAATTAGCAGCTGGCCGCTGGCGCCCTGTTATTTTCACATATGAGAGCAGGTTCACCCTGAGCACGTGACAAACGTTAAAGGGTCTGAAGAAGCCGTGGAGAACGTTATGCTGCCTGTAACATCCTTCCACATGTTGTGGGTCAGTGATGGTCTGGGGAAGTATATTCATGGAGGGACGCACAGACCTCAACAGGCTAGACAATGGCACCCTGATTGCCATTAGGTATCGGGATGAAATCCTTGGACTCATTGTCAGACCCTACACTGGTGCAGTGGGTCCTGGGTTCCTCTTGGTGCATGACAATGTCCGGCCTCATGTGGCGAGAGTATGCAGGCAGTTCCTGGAGGATGAAGGAATTGACACCATTGAATGGCCCCCACGCTCGCCTGACCTAAATCCAATAGAACACCTCTGAGATATGTTTCGGCCCATCCGACGCCACCAGGTTGTACCTCAGACTGTTCGGGAGCCCAGTGATACCCTGATCCAGATCTGGGAGGAAATACTCCAGGACACCATCCGTTGTCTCATTAGGCGCATACCCCAACATTATCAGGCATGCATACAAGCACGTGGGGGGCATACAAACCACTGAGTACCATTTTGAGTTGCTGCAATGAAATTTCAGCAAAATGGACTAGCCTGCTGCATAATTTTTTTCACTTTGATTTTCGGGGTGTCTTTGAATTCAGTCCTCTGTAGGTTTATAATTTTCATTTCCATCAAACGATGGGGCATCCTTACGTTCCTAACACATTACCTAGTGCATATCAGTATAGATATCCAGCATGATATTTTTCCCCATTGAGATCTGATGTATTTTCAAAGTGTTACTTTAATTTTTTTGAGCAGTGTAGTTCCAGAAACACAAAGCCACTTTCCTTTCTTGTCTAATAGTTTGTACAGTTAAAGCAGAATTCCAAAGGTTCAAAGCATAGGCAGCTTTTGCCATAATGTGTAAGTAAGAACTGCCAATAAGTTCTTGCATTGATGAGCGTTGTGGTGCGTTGGGCAGCCCAAATAAGATGACTGGACTGCAAAGCATGAACAGTGGGTGCTGATGTGTTTTCAAAGTGTTCCTTTAATTGTTTTTGAGCAGTATATTTAGCTTACTTTGTTGTGACAATTGCATGGAGGCCATGCAGATCAAAGCTTGGCAATATTTTCTGATTGCCAAAGCAGGCATTGCCCCCTTGCCTGACAAAGATAAAGAGTTTGATGAGAATGCAACAGCTGACTTTGTTTAAACAATCCAGTGTTTGTGACAGAATTTTGCTGAGGAAGGGTAAAGAAAAAAAAAAATTCTTCTGTTTATGCAGAACCTTGTGTAATGCCACGTGCACACTATAAGAATATTGTACGAAAAATTTCATACAAAGACCGATCGTCCGATAATCGTATCGTTAGTATACAGCTTTCGAGAGCCGATCACGCCAATTTGTGCGACAATATCCAAAGGGACAAGCGCAAACATTTTTCTTGTACCATACTAGATCGTATGATTTTCGTTTAATCGGTACAGTAGTCGTCCGAAAATACAATACAATACATGACATCACTTTCGAAATTCTTTTCTTTCATAGGAGAATTTTCATATCTTTAATAACCTTTGCACTTTTGATGTGAGACTAGCAGGTGAAAAAAAAATGGGCGATCATTCGTCCAATATTCTCATCATGTGTACGGGGCTTTAGGCTTATGGTCTCATTCACGCAGCAAAAAGTGGGAAGTTAGGCCCACATTTAGGTTCAGACCTTTTAGGTTCACACTGCCTCCTGTGTGAACCTAATCTAAGTGTGTTTAGACAGCTACAGAATAACTTACTGTTTTTTGAACCGTTTAAAAAATAGTTATATAATTTTTTACATCTTGTTCTGTTAAGTCACTTTTTAGGTGGTCACTGACTTTTTTTTATTTACCTATTAGTAATGGCATAAAAAGTTTCTAAATTAAAAAAAAATAAATTACAGAATTATAAAATTGCAGAGAAAACAGCAGAGTAAAATTGGCCATCAGCAGAACCATATTAACCACTTGCCTACTGAGTACGTTTACCCCCTTCCTGCCCAGGCCACTTTTCAGATTTCAGTTCCATCACACTTTGAATGACAATTGCACAGTATTGCAGTTTCACTCTAAGTTGCTGATAGCCGCCATTACTAGTATTTAAAAACAAACAAAATTCCAGTATATGTCCCATAGTTTGTAAACGCTATAACCTTTGCGCAAACTAATGAATATATGCTTATTGGGATTTTTATTTTAACAAAGAAATGTAGCAAAATACATTTTGGCCTACATTTATGAAGAAATTAGATTTTTTTTATTATTTTTATTGGATATGTTTTATAGTAGAAAATAAAAAAATAATAAGTTTTTTTCAAAATTAACGCAAAAAATAAAAACTGCAGAGGTGATCAATTACCACCAAAATAAAGGTCTATTTGTGGGAAAAAAAAGGACATACATTTCATTTGGGTACAGTGTTGCATGACTGCTCAATGTCAGTTAAAGTAATGCAGTGTAAAAAATGGCCTGGTCAGGAAGGGGGGTAAATCTTCCGGAGGACAAGTGGTTTTTAAAACATACATTCAGCCAGTTATAACTGCAGAGAGTGCATGTGGAGAAGCCAGAAAGAAGTTGCAGGACACACATCAACAGCAATAACATGCACAAATCTATACCTAAACCTACCCCCACATTTTTAGAAATGCACAACACTGCTGGTCCTGCATTATATGTGATGAGAGCTTGTCACCGGTTGAGCAGTGAAGAAAGTAGGCTTCGGAGTACCAGTTTTACAGTACGGAAGAAGCCTGCAGAAGTAATTAATAAGGTTAGTATTTCACCTTATTCATCAACCCCCAGATAGAACAAGCAGTACTGAAGGGGGAGAGTGAGGGTACTGTGTGGTAAATAACTAGTGTGGGTAAATTATATAGCAGCCAAGAGTGGGGCTTTAAAGTTGTGTAAAAAATATGTATAATATTTTTATTGGGCCTGATGAATGAAGCTTAAATAGGATGAAAGGAAAGCTTTACTTTGAGAAATGTTGAGACCTCCACTACTCCCCGACCATGTAAGCAAGAGGGCAGGGATAGTTTAAAAACTAAAAAACAGGGTAGGGCTTCTCTCCCATAATTCATACCATACTAGGCCCTTCAGGTCTAGAATGAATTCTAGGAGGGATCCACACAAAAAAAGAAAAAACAAATTGAGGTTCCCCCAAATTCTATCACATTTTATACCAGGGTCAAGGATTTGGATGACTTGTACAAGGAAACCCCACACAAAAAATGTGTGAGGTCCCCCCCCCCCCATGCATCTGTCCCCGAAACTTCACTCCCACACACCTGAATGACAGCTGTTATAAACAAAGGGGGGGTCTCCTGGGTGATGTAATTGACTATATATGGACATGACCCTTATATGGTCAATGATGTCACTGGCTGTCACCCACTGGACCTGTCATTTGGCAGGAGTAAAGTGATGGAAGCAGATGAGTGTCAGTGGTCAGCGGGTTTCTTTCCATTCGGTGGGACGAGAGGTGTTAGACATCGTGATTGACATGGATCTACATCTCTGGACAATGTGACAGATGTACATCATGGGACTTTTTTTGTTTTAGACAATATATATATATTTGTGAATGAGTAGGGGTTCTATGTACATCTTAGTCATTAACAAAGCAGGGCCAGTAAGCCTGCAGACCCCCACAACCACAAGGTTGTCCCTCCATGTTGAGGGCATGTGGCTTGGTATTGTCTAGATGATGTCCCCCCTTTCCTGGCCTGCCAGGCAGCATGCTCAGATATGGTTCTGGTATTTCTGGGGGGTCCTCATACTTATTTTTATTTTTTCATGGGATTCATACTTAAAATTCTGGCAGAGGGTTTGGTATATAATTTTTTGGGGGGCTCATGACATTGTCACTATGTGGGGTCCCCCTTAAAATTCATACCACACCTCTCTGCTGTCTTCCATAGATGTTTAGGCAAATATGAATCTATGGTAGAGGTACGCCAACTTTTGTAGATTTTGTTAGGATACAATATTTCTTCCCTCCGGCTCCCTCCTCTCCTTTGGACCTTCCCACCCCACTGTAACGTTTACATTGTCATCTTGATTTTCTACTTCCTTTTTCTGCCATGTCGCTTGTGTTACTTGAGGTGTTGCTTTCACAGCAAGGATTAATGGGCTTCTGCAAAGAAGTCTCTTGGTGCGCTTTGCTAATAACACATTTCATGCTTTTATGAAAAAAAGTCCCTTCATTTTGCATACTCAGATGTGTCACATGCTGTATGAATTGCTGTATTGTGCAATACTATTTATACATAACTTTCTCTACTCATATTCTCCTGTTACTGTAATTGTATATATTCTCTTATAAAACCTAAATAAAGAATTTACAAAAAAAACATCATACCAGATCTGAATGGCCTAGTATGAATTAGGAAGGGAACTCTATGCCCAGGGGCGGACTGACCATTGGGGAACTCGGGCGCTGCCCGAGGGCCCGGGGTCAGTAGGGGGCCCCATGAGATGTCCCTGGCACCTTTTATAGGCTTTTTTGGGTGTGGTTTGTGTGTGGGTGAGGACACAGGGGCCCCATGATCCTGGGTGCCCCATGAGTTGTCAGTCAGCCCCTGCCTATGCCTATTTTGTTCTGTGGGGGTTCCCCATTAACATCTATGAAACCCCAATTTAGCAAAAGGGTCTGGTGTAAATAAAGGGAATCCGTGGTCGCTTTGTAAATGTCAATGTTGCTGTAGTAGGTTGTTTATATCGTACAGTTGAGCCACTTCTCAGCCAGGTTCAGATCATCTCACTAGCATGTTATTTAATTCAATTTTGCATTTTTATTGTTTCACTTTAAGCACTACTAAGGCCTCATGCACACTGGACATTTTGCTATCTCTCCTAGACGCCTTTCCTCCTGGCATTGGTGTTTTGGCAGCAATAAAATGCTTGGTGCCTGTAAACGTGTGTAACGTGCAGGGGCGGACTGACAACTCATGGGGCCCCGGGCAATAGGGGATCATGGGGCCCCTGTGTCCTTGCCCTAACTCAAAAAAGCCTATGAAAAAGGTACCTGGGGCATCTCATGGGGCCCCCTACTGACCCCGGGCCCTCGGGCAGTGCCCGAGTTTCCAAATGGTCAGTCCACCCCTGGTAACGTGTTCAGGCGTGTCAAGTGTTCGGGCATGAATTAATATCATTGGCCAGAATAATAATTTATTTAATTTATTAAACTTAACGAACGCTCAAGCGCTAAATGCATCTGGCGCTTAGGCACGCTTACACACGTTTAGGTGCATTTCCAGGTGTTACGTTTTTTTTCTGCCAAAATGTTGCTGCTTCTGGATTCTCTGGCAGTGGGATTTTTTTTTTTCCTTTAAACGCTCCTGACTCTAAACTCATCTAAAGGCCTATGTAAGCATGAACACATAGGCTAACATGCAGGAGTGTTTAGAGGCAGAAAAAAATGCCAGATGGAGGAGCAGCAGAAAAAATGTCAAGTGTGCATGAGGCCTTAAATTATTATTATTATACAGGATTTATATAGCTCCAACAGTTTGCACAGCGCTGTACAATTTAAAGGGAGACAGTACAATTACAATACGGTTCAGTGCAGAAGGAATAGGAGGGCCTTTCTCATGGAGCTTACATTCTAAATTGCTACTCCCTGTAAAATGGAATTAAAAAAAAAAAAAAAATAATGCTTTGGTACAGTCCCCACTACATCCTCCCTCCTATGTTTTTTTTTTGACAATCCCTTGTCTATTAACCAAGAAAATGGCCAGAACTGTATTTTTTTTTTTAACATTCAGTTCCCATTAACTTCGTTGGGGTTCAGATTTGGCACCCGAACGTTAGTTTCACCCAATCTGCCCCGAACTGAACCCAGGTATGTTCAGTCAATCACTATTTATAAAATATACTAATGCAAGGAATGGCTACGATGTGAAAGCCAATCACATTTCACCTTACAACAGTAAGACTAAAGAAAAATCGAATGTTGTTTGAGCTTATAGCTTCTTGGCTTATTAAAATATATATAGCGTGGCTGAGCGGAGGTATTTGAGTGTATACAGTATGTCCAGACATTAAATAAACCTACAGCTGACCTAAGTTCACTAGTGTAAAAGCTTATAAAATATTTATATGTTCTTAATGTACCTGTTAACAGTCTTCCCAGGGAAACAGAAACCTATACAAAGCATATGTCTGTAACAAAGTAAAAATATATTAATGTCGTTTTTTTTTTTAAAGCTCTGTGAAGCCGGAGGCTTATTGACAGGCGCAAATTAAAATATTTACTCTTTAACATCTTTCTGTGTTCTAGACGTGCACTTCATTAGTCGCTTTCTAGAAAAGCACGCAGTCATCTGGTGAGTTTAAAGTGTGAGTTCTCATATAAAAGGAAATATGGTCATAACTGATTGGAGTAATAAAATCCTGAAACCAAATAACATCTCATAATTCATTACACAGAATATATTACATTTCATTACATCAGTACAGGACTTAGTAGTAAATTCTCTTGATGGTCATAAAACTTAGAGGTGTTGTCATCCTGCAAAATGCTGGGGGGAGTTTTACTATCCAGGAGTGCAAAGTCCTCCTAGGTAGTCAGATACAATTTGACCCTACTGCCATCTACTGCCAAGTAATGATATTACCTAAAGTGTATTTCAAGTATGGGGAAAAGTAAGGGCTAGTTCACACCACAAAAACACACTCCTGATTTGTTCCGGATGCTTTTCTGCATGCAAGTTTTTTACGTATTTTCGATGCATTCCCGTGCATTTTTGATGTGTTTCCAGATGCGTGCCAGATGCTTTTTCTTTTCCTGTTTTTGTTTTCACTGTCCTGGGTTCTGGTGCATTTGTGATGCGTGTAGATGCACTTTTTTTATCCATTTTACTGTGTTCCATGCATGCAAAATGCAGCACATTCTATGTTTTATCTGTAACTGGAATGCAATGGAACTGCAAGCAATAGTGTGAACTATGCCATTTAAAAACATGTAACCTACTTTCTATGCATTTTAGATGCAGTAAAAAAAAAAGCACTGGAACGCATGTGGTGTGAACTAGCCCTAAAACCAGTTTTTCTCAACCTTTCTGTCCAAGAGGAATCCTTGAAAAAATGTTCAGTTCTCAAGGAACCCCTACTAAAACCAACTTATTGGAGGTTGGTGGAGGAATACCCCTTACATTGGTGATCAGTGGAAAGAATACCCTCCTTATAGCGGTGGTCAGAATGCAATGCTACCCACACAGACAGGTAAAATGATCTTTGGGTTCATTCAGCTAGCTCTGTCAAGTGGAGTTGGCTCTGGAGTTTTGAGGGGCACCATCAAATGGGAGGTCAATCAGTTCCAGCTCAAGGAACCCCTAGCAGCCTCTGGAGGAACCCTAAAGCACTCCTAGATTGTAAGCTCTAACGAACAGGGCCCTCTGTTTCCTCTGTAACTGTAATCTCTACCTTCATTTTGTAAAGCGCTATGCAAACTGTTGGCGCTATATAAATCCTGTATAATAATAATAATTATTATAATAAAAAAGCATATTTTTATAGCTATTTTTTTTTAGTTTTGTGTGGCATGGGAAAGAGTTAGATCAGCCTTTCTCAACCTTTCTCTTCCAGAGGAACCCTTGAAAAAATATTCAGCTCTTAGGGGATCCATACTAAACCAATTTATTGAAGGTTAGTGGAAGAATTCCCCTTACATTGGTGGCCAGTGGAAAGAACAACCTTCTTTACAGTGGTGATCAGAATGCAACCCTCACAGACAGCTAAAAAGATCATTGGGTTCATGCAGCTGGCTTTGCCAAGTGGGATTGGCCCTGGAACTATGGAGGCACCATCAAATGGGAGGTCATTCAGTCACATCTTAAGGAACCCCTAACAACCTTTGGAGGAACATAGAACCTTGGTTGAGAATGGCTGGGTTAGACTCTCACATATTCATTGCTGTCTATTTCATCATCCGAGAAATTAACCCATTTTATTTTTATACATCTATTATCACCAAGACAGAAAGTTTGCAGAAACCCAAAATGTTGTTGTTGTCACCAGAACAAAAGGTAAGTGGACATTTTTTAAAGTGGCCACCTGTTCCAGAGACAACCATCCAAGGACTCATTCATACAGGCAAATGAGGACAGAGAGGGTGCTATGTACAGATAAGGTTAACCCTGCTTCTGGATACAGCAGCATTTTGTGCTATTAGCTTGGCCAGAAACACCTGCACAAACCGTCTGCATCTAGGGTTGCTTAGAGTCCCTAATCACATGCAATTGCTCGGATGAGTGTTTACATTCAACAGTGGCAGCACTGGCCATTGATTTGTACAGGGTATAAATCTGACCAAGCCACTACTGGACACAGCTGATTTTCTTGAGAGTGTTCACACAATAATTTGTGTGAATATTCACTTCAATTATCTTATCATGTGGATGAGTCCTTAGACAGATGTTCCTTGAACAGGTGGCTTCATTAAAAGTAATTCCCCTTACTATTTGTTCTGATAGAGTAATTACAAAGGACAGGGGAGCACTCATGTCTGGAGTAAAAATGATTTAACCTCTGCATATGGAAAGACTTCTTCACAGTACGAGCTGTGAATATGTGGGATAGATCCACTCAGGAACTAGTTCTAGCCAGCTCAGTTGCTTGCTTGAAAAAAAAAAACTGGATGCATTCCTGAATGCGCAAAATTAGGGTTGCATGGGTACCAGTACAGGTGCCGATACTAAGCATTTGCATGAGTATTGGTACTCGTGCAAATGCTCTGATACCTGAAACCGATACCTTCAGGCTCAGTTCTGTCAGCTGTCAACAGGATTACTCCGCTGACAGCTGAAATTGAAAAAAAAAAAAAGCTGGCAACTGCAAGTCCTTAACAAAGGATGACTCATTCAGAAGTGTAAAACAAAGGTGAAGTGTAAACAAGTCCTGGTAATTGGAGCTCTCAAAAAAAAGCAGCCTGACAATGTTTATCAACAACTTTGCTCAGAAAGATAAAAAGAAACATTTTTTTCATTTTGTATCTTTCTGTTTATTCTTCTACAGATCAAAGGGATGACCTTCATCTCAAGATGAAGTCAATTAAAGGCAACCTTTCAAGTAAATACAATTAAATTTTCTTCTGTTTAACCCCTTATTAACCCTTAATTTACTCTAATCATCCCTAGTTAACTCCTTGGTCACCTCCATTTAATTATTATTTTCCTGCTGATTTTTTTTTTGTTCATTTCTATTTTATAAACTATAAATAATAAAACATTTTTTTGTTTTTTTGTTTGTTAATATTTTTACACCTATAACATATATTTACACATTTTACATTAATTTATTTTAATTGTACATAACTTTTCAATGCTTTGTATAAGAATCATTATTTTAGTGTCAATTTAAACTGGACAAATTCCAGAATAAAATGTGCACTTTTTATGTGCAGTAACACTATTTATTTTTAAATTACCACTACTTACAAAAAAAGTGCAGTTTGTTTAGTTTTGTTACATTTAATTGTCTAGGGATTGTGAACAAAATATCATTGTTGGAAGACAATATTCATGAAAAGAAAACCTAGTTTGTCATTAAAAAACAATATGAGAAATGTTTTAGCTATACATACATTTTAAAGTGTAAATGCATTTTTTTTAATTAAAATAATAAACATATTTTACTTACCTGCTTCCTCTTCTGGGAACCCCCACTGGCACTGTCCGCTCCTCCTCTTCTGTGTTTGCTCCCATAGCAAACTCTTGCTATGGGGTCAGACGTGATGGCTTGCTACTGAGCAGGGCTGTGTGCATCCATAGACACACACAGTGTGCCTCAACCCCATCCCCTTGCAGTCCCTCACAGGATTTAATAGACAGCAGCAGAAGCCAATGGCTCCCACTTCTGCTCCTGTGCCTGTAAGCAAGAGAGAGAGAGAGAAGACAAGCACTGTTGCAGATGGGAACAGCACTGGATCGATACTGGACTCAAGTATTTGGGGGGGGGGGTGCTGATTATGGGGGTATTTACCTTAATGCAGAGAATGGATTAAAGTAAGAGAAACCTTATGCCTTTAGAACACTTTAAAGCAGATGGCAAGCCTATATATGCATCATTGGGCAGTGAAAATGAACCTCCCATTGGAAACTCAATCCT